AGAATTTAACTTATTTTCCCCTTTTCTGTGTACTGTAGTAGTGTTGCAAGCAGATGATGAGAGGCCAGAGTTCACGTCCAGCCATTTCACAATGGCCAATTTAATAAACTTCTCCAGACCCAACCTACAGCACAGCCCCTCTCAGAACCAGCCACACCGCTCCCCTTGCTCTCCTGCAGACCAAAGCCCTTTGGTGCAGGTCTCACAGCCCCTTCTCCAGTGCCTTCATGGTGGCTCCCAGCTGTGGCAGGACAGCAAAGGGGCCATCTCTGAGGGCTTCCCAGCCTGAAGGTGCCTCCCTCTCACCAAGGCATTTCCTATCTTCTCATTTTGCCTTGAAGACCATCTTGTTTGTGTTAGCCTAAAGCTGACTCTGAGGCTCATTCAATTTTTCCTTCCCATTACTCATCCACCTCTGTTGAGACTAATCTGCCACATTAATTCTTTAAACTTGGCAATTTTGAAGTTTCCAGTTCAGTTTCTTCTGCTTCACCCCATCTCTACATCTCATTTCACTCTTTCACACACAAGATAATCCCCATACCTAGCAACAGGAAAGTACCCACTCCTGGAGTCTGTCAGTTGCGTATGAGTGGTGCTACACGCAAATGAATTGTATTGCACGCCACTGGTCTGTAGGAATGATGTCATACCCTAAAAGTTTAACATTAGCTTGGCAGAAAAAGGAAGTAAGGAAGGAAGCAGAATTCACTGGAGAGAAACACCCCCTAAAATAGAAATGTTTCACTTAACAGGATGGAACATCTCACTGATTTTGAGAACATCACCCTTTAAGCTTCTTAACAGCACAGTTAAAAAGACAGCAGCCAATATCAGCATTGCCACAAACTGAAAAGAGAAAAAAACCTAGCTACTGCATTTTGAAACTCCTCTCCCACTGTAAGTTACAACAGGACTTCAGTTTGACAAACTGAACAAGCAAAAAAAAATGCAAGCTCAAACTACCTTCCAAAAGCTTTACTTTATATTAGTGACTTATTTCAGATTCTGACTGCTCTCTGTATTGAGTTAGATGGGGAATTTTAAGATGCTGTTATGAAAAGGATACTTCCTGCCTTAGCATAACGCAATTTTAAGGACCAAGCCATTGGAGTGTACTTCTGGGAGCTTTGAGCAGTCAGGTGCAGGTCTTTGTGGCTGGGCACAAAGGGATGGGACAGCCAGGTGTCCTCCAGGGGATGCAGCTGATAGGTTCCACAGTGCTCTCAAGTGTAACCCCACAGATAAGAGTGCTGGATTGCAAATGTTAGGAAAAATCATCATGATGGTGTTGTGTTACCACAACATCTACAGTGTCATTTTAATTTCACTGTATGTAAAGTAATGTTGAACTTTGAATACAGGATAATTGCCCCCTTACTTGTAATTATTGGGTTTTCCACACATTTATCCATGTACCAAAAAGTACAAAACGTATCTGAGGAATGGAGTTATGCTTCCAGCAGGGCAGATCACTCTGTTGAACAGAAGTCAATTACCTGCGCCACCTATTACCCCTTCTTAACAGGAAGGAGAGAAATAAGATTTTAAGTTTCTTATTAGATGGCAATTATGAACCTCAACGGCTAGATTTCTGACACTTATCTTTAACATAATAGACCAGATAAGATTATAATAGATTATAATAGGTTACATTCCATATAATTTTGATCGTTTTTAAGTGGAAGACTTATTAGAAATAGTAAATCAAAAAGAGCCAGGAAGCAAAGAAATACAGCTTTGCAGGTTTGTTGTATTTGCTTATGGTTTAACACTATTCAAACTGTTAAATGTACTTACCTACACATACATGTTAGAAATCAAGCACTGCAAGAATTACAGTATTCTGTCTTGTATATCATCTTCCTAGGGTGCAAATACACAGTCTGATGGGTAATTAACATTAGGGGAAAATTATTCATCTGATTATCAGCAGGAGAGATATAAAATGAACACAATATATTGCTGAATTTAGCAATATAATCACGGGAAAAAAATTTACAGATATATTACAGCAGGGAATACTCCCAGTTTTACACACAGGAATTTCCTGAATCTAATATGTCATTTATTCCTGGCAAGGCCCATCCTTTGTCTACATATACTTCATTTCTTTTGAAAGAGAACAGCACCAAGCTACATACATTGGTCCTACATAAGTGCAGGACCTATTTTAGCCAGATTTAACTACCACATGCAGGAAAGCTTGAATAAAGTATCACCTTTTGAAAGGTGAGCACCTCAATCATCCTCCTGTTATTAAGAACATTTCATAGCCTACAACATTCCTCACTTCAGAACAATTCACATTACCATTTACTCTTGAAAACTGGCTATTTTTTTGCTGGCTATTTACCCTCCATGAAGGTAAGTGGAATAGTGTTAGGTGCCCTGACGGGGGGCTTTTTACAAGGCCAAATGTGATCAGGACAATATTTTAAAGCAAAGCAATCATCCTTTTTACTGCGTTTTTTCCCACGTGTTTCAATATTCTATTTTTGTTAGTCTTACAAAAGTTTTGGTCAGTCCACTAGGCCTTAATCCCTTTATAGCTAACTGTTCAGAGACTTCCACTACCACCATTTTTCTGCTGAAGATCAGACTTCTCACCCTGCACCTCTTCTTGCCTTATCCTGCCACTAGCTCTTACCTAGTATTTACCTACTGCAGTAAAAGCAGTGGTGCTGTAGAAACGCATCACGGCATGGTGCAAAGATGGAAACAGGACACTTGGATAGAAGGGACACGAAACAAAGCCTCACATAATAAGGAAGAAGTAGCATGGAAAAATATGATAAACATTTTGTTTAAAACTATTGTATGCTATTCAGTCATTTCTGCTTTATGGAGAATGTTCTCCGTTATCAGAAGCATTAGCGTTAGGAACAAGTTTTGGCATCAAGCATTGCTCAGGATGTTAAAGAAGAGAATCTATGCCCAGCAGGCCAATTGCTGGCCCTCCATCAAGACTCACCAGCAAAACCATGCAGCTACTTCTCTGCTAAGCAAGTACCAGGGATTCTCCTTCCCAAACTGCTCTTCACATTCAACATCTCTTCATGCAGACAGGACAGCCCTGGGCTGAGTTCCTTGCAGCGCTCGCTGGGCTGGCCCAAGCCTGTCCCTTGAGCGCAGCACAACATGACACAGCTCGTGGCTTCTGCCGCCGCCACCAGCTGATACAGAGTACCATCACCACGCTTGCTCAGCAGCACAGGTCAAATACAGCTCAACTCTTGGTAGTTTGTCTAAATTTTGACTCACAGAATGACTGTCTGTACCGAACAACTCATGGATCACATGCCTTCACTCAGACCTGATGGATTTGATGTGATGTTTACTTTTAAAAAGCATTTATCTTGTTTTAGAAGAGATAATGTTTGAAATTGCTCTTACGTTCTGATCTCTGGATTAGAGAGCACTTCAAAAAATCTTTTACGTCATATGGAAAGATCTCAGTGATAAAACAAAGTTCAGAAGCATTCTTTTAATCATTCCTAAAGAAAGCTTACAATTTTCAAAATAAATATCTAAACTTGTGCATCTAAATCCACATCTAGTCTCTGATATTAGTCGACTGGATTTCAGAGATTTTAAGAACTCTTAATTCTATTGCCAAGAAAGGTCTTTGGGTGCATCAGTCCACCTGATTCATTGACCAAATACGAAATGTTGCCCACACTAACATGCCTCCAGTTCTGCAGTTTTTGCACTAAGCCTCTGGCATTACCAGGTGCCCGTCAGAATACTGGTTATTGAGCAAACAGTGGATCTTCCTGACCAGTACTGATAAAGTGCGAGCTGCAGACAGCATCCCATTGCTCAGATATAGCAAGGAGGCCTATGACTTCCAACCATTTCCCACTCCATGACTAGTACTTCATCAAACATTCTTTGCCTATTCAGTTTGCTCAGAAATGAGACTGTTCTATTACATTGCCTTGAGATGAAAGAAAACAAACTTATTTCTAGCTGTTCACTTTTATATTTTAATTATTCCCTTTCCTATCTGTCCTGCTCCATTTACTACCATGAAAGCCCTCGTCTCAGCCCTTAAGACAAATATGGTGACCATAGCTACAAGCCAGTCTAACAGCCACCTCTGTCACCACAGCATCTCTATTTCTCCAGGACTCACAGAGGTTTGGCACTAGTGAAGTATGGAATACTTCCCTTTTACTATGTAATGTGTGAGTAAAATAATACAAATAGCAGGACATCAGCAATGTCAATGTCAATGCAATGTCATCAGCAAGATGATGCAGCCGAGTATCTCAAAGCAAAGCACACTTCTTAAAGTCCGTGACATTCAAATAAAGATGCTCACGAGGCAGTCTCAGCATGGGGAACCTGCCCAAGAACAAAGCTCATTCACTCAGAGCTTACGCTACCAACACAACAGCCAGGAAACCTGGTGGCACCGCCGCCATGCTGAAAGCAAGGCCTGAAGTCATTCTGCTGCACCCTTGGTAGCACCACCAGCAGCTCCTGGGGAATTTACCAACAAGCAGCAGACCTGTAAAGCTCAGTCTTAGGCTTCTCCTCCTCTTTAATATAATAATCTGCAAACATTTATAAAAACATCTAAAGCAGTGGAATGCACATCCCACTAGCGCTACAACCATTACCTCTGGGTAACGAATAGAGCTGCTAAGAATCAGCAGCAGCTGTCAGAGCTAATACCTGAGACAAAGGGAGTTGTTGGGTTTTCATTCCCTCTCACGCCTGAGGAAATGGTGTGTATGGGGCTCCTTGCCATCCACCCCAGCACTATGTCACACGCCTATGCCTCTGGAGATGGGTGTTTGTGTGTGTGGGAGGCAGCACGGGGATGAGGTGAGCTCTGGCACAGCCCCGCAGCCTGTCGAAACCTCAAACCACACTCCATGCGCACAGAGGAGCTCTCTCTCTATCCACAAAGCCCATCGGCGGCCCGGCCCTCCCCATGCCCAAACCGCTCACCCGGTGCACGCGCCACAGAGCAGGCCCCGCTTCCTCACCTGACCACGTTGGGGTGCTCGAAGGTCTCCAGGTGCCTCAGGACGGCCACCTCCCGAATGGTGGACAGCGGCATGCCTTCCTCACTGGTCTGCACCCGCACCCGCTTCAGCGCCACGAAGCGGCCACCATTCTTCAGGTCGCGGGCCTTGAACACCTTCCCGTAGGCTCCCTCGCCGATCTCAGCCACGCACTCATACTGCTGGTCGGCCAGGTTGGTGCCGTCCTTGTCCATGCTGCCACCGCTCTGCTTCCCCCCGGGTCCGGAGCACCTCGCGGCGGCTCTCGTCTCTGATCGCTTCCGAAGCTGCACCTCACTGCGGGTCGGCCACACGCCGGTATCTCTGCCCGAGGGGCAGCAGGAACCCCTCGGCCTCCCGCTCTGCTGCACTGGCCCCAGTGAGCCTCAGCTGGCAGTCACCAGAAATGATCATACAGCCTTTGGGAGCATGGTCCGTGTGAAGGCAGCTAGATCTGGAAGAGAGACCAAGCAAGAGAGAGCAGTTAGAACATGGTGCCATTGTGCTCTACTTCACTGCGTTACTCACCGTGGCTTAAAACTGAGAAAATGATGCTAACACAGCAGATAGCTGCATGTGCAAAGGAAGATGTGAACCAGAGGCTGCCGGGCAGCATCGCTGCACAGCTGACACAATCTGCAGTGTGCCCAGGCTGCAGTACAGCCAGAGCGACCGCGTGCATGGGCTTTCCCCAAGCAATGGGGTTTTCCTGAGCAATGGGACGAGAGTGACTCTGAGAGATGTGGGTGGTGTCCTCCATTACACAGCAGAATCTCTATGCTCGTGGGACAGGAGAGTATGGCAGGTTCCTTGGGTTCCAAGGTTCCTTGGGCATCACATGGTGGAGTCCCCCATGCTGTGCAGCCAGCACTCATGTGCAAATGGTAGCACTGAGGGACTCCAGCCTAGAGCTTCTCTACCCTGTACTATGCATTGCAAGAATACAAGAATGCACGCTCCTGACTCGTAGAGAACTGTGCATATATATATATACACACATACATACAAGATAATAGGATGTTTCTGAGCACTGTTTCCTAGAGCAAAGACGCATGCCCCTTAGCAGCCTTATGATCGAGCATGGGCCCTGGCTGCAGAGCTGCGGCTGCAGGACACAGCGTGGCGCCCAGCTGACTGCAGCAGGACGGACGCTGATTGAAAGCCGTGCTGCGGAGCCTCTTCTGCCATGCACTGCGTGGGGCCGGGTGCCGAGGCACTTCCCCCTGCGCCCAGCTTCACCCCCACAGCCACGCCGCGGCCACGAGCAAACGCCGCTCACAGCAGCAGCACTCCAGCCCTCTCTTTTCCTCCTCGCCCATTCATTATCAACGCACCGACGCCGCGACCTCGGGGGCTCCAGCCCCCTACACGCCGCGCTAGCACGAAGGCTCCCGGTAGCTCATCGGGGATCCCCTGACGGCACCCACCGGCCGCCGCTCACGCCTCCCAGCTCGGCGAGAGAAGCGCCCCGAGGCGGCCCCGCTCCCCCCGCGCCGCGTCCCCGCTGCCCCCCGCCGCGGGGACACCTGCCCGCGCCCCGCTCGCAGCCCCACGCCCCGCCCGGCGGAAGGGCGCCCCCCGGCGGCGGGCGGCGCGTCGCGCGTGTGCGTGGCCGCGTTCCGGCGGGCGGCGGGCCTGGCCCCGCGCGGCCGCGCCGCCGCCGCCGCCGGCCGCCTTCCCCCGGGACGGCGGGGAGCCGGGCCCCCCGCTCGGCACCGCGCCGCCCCGCACGCGGCGGGGACATGCGGAGATCCGCCGTCCGCTCGGGGCCTCGGAGGGCCCTCCCGCCGCCCCCCGCACGCCGCGCTGCTCCCGGTCCGGCCGCGCGTGGGCTCGGGGCCGCGGCCGCTCGCCGCACATGGGTTCCCGGCGTTACCTGGTGCGCGCCGCGGCCGCCCGCTCCGCCGGCGGCTCCCCAAATAACCCTCAGCCCTTGGGGGGTGGGGGGGGGGGGGGTTGGGAGGGAGGGGGTGAGTCCTCCCTAAAACAAACCTCCCATTGAGCGAGGCGGGGTGGAGAGCCGGCCGGGGTCTGCCCCTTCACATGGCGATGTCTCCGGCAGGTCCCGGCCGCCCGGGCCACACAGGTAGCTGCTCCGCCGCCCGGCCGCCCCCGGCCCGCATCCCGCCGCTGCCCCTCGGCGCGGGAGGCAGCTCCCGCTCGGCCCCGGCCCGCGCCTCCCACCCCCCCCCCCCCCGGCCGCCCGGGGAAAAGGAAAATCGCGGCCCCCGGGGAGCGCCGCCGCCGCCGCTGCTGCGAGGCGCCCGCAGCCCCGCGGCCGCAGCCCGCCCCGGAGCGGCCCCGCTGCCCGCCCGCCCCGCTCCGCTCCGCCGGCCCCGCTCAGCCCGGCGGCGGCGGCAGCGCGCTCGCTGCTTTTTTTTTTTTTTCCTCCCCTCTCCTCAACTTTTTTTTTTTTTTTTTTTTTTTTCCCTTGCTTTCCCACGCTGGCTGAATGTGACTTGACCCCGTTTCAAAAAAGTTTGACATAGTGCTTCAACATTTCCGCATTCCTCCCCGACTACAAAGGCTGCAGCCGCCTCCTTCTGCTTTCTGTCTCTGCTCTCTGTCTTCACACTCAATGAAATCCTTCATCTGCCCCTGCCAAGCCGCCCGCATACCGCAAGGGTCGCGGCGAGCGGCGCGGCGCGGCGCGGCCCGAACGCCCCGGGGGGTCCCGGCGCTGTGCGGTGCGGTGCGGTGCGGCCGCCCCGAGCAGCGCGGCATGCGGGGCGCTGGAAATCACCATGCCGGGCGCTGGGCTTTTTCCTCCCTGGGAAATAACCTTTTTTGTTGGGTTTTTTTTTTTTTTTTTTCTCCCCAGAAAATCACATTTTAATTTTTCCTCCCTCCCCCGTTTTCTTCCCCTTTCCCCCTTTTTCCTTCTCCCCCCTCTTTTTTTTTCTTTATTTTTTTTCTTTATTTTTCTTTTCTTTTTTTTCTTTTCTTTTTTTCTTTTTTCCCTTTTATTTCTTTTATTTCTTTTTTCTTTTTTCTTTTTTTTCTCCCCCCTTTCCTCCCCCCATTCCCCCTCCTGTTTCTATTCATTAGGCACCCATCCATGATGCTTTTGGGAACCATCAAGAAACTCCGTTTTTCTGAAGTACCCCCTCCCCCCCAGCAAAGAGCTCACAAACCTAGCATGTTCCTTATGGGAAAGGCACCTGCAAATCATACTAAAATGCACCACAGAAAAAAAAAATGGCAAAACTTTGCCAATCTGCTCCATCTCCATGGGGCAGCGCACACATGGAGTGCCTCAGTGCCAGCTCCGTGCCTTCCAGCCCATGGCAGGGCCCAGGGGTGGCTCCAAGGGCAGCCCTTGTCAGAGTTGAACTGGGAGAGAGTGGATCCAGATCTCCTTTAAATGGGAAATGTAATTTAACTCAGTGGGTTTGTAACTCAGAATGTGTGCTGTATGTATGGCATCATACATTGTATGATTTCCAGAAACTAAATATTTAAATATAGATAAATCTAATACTATATAAACAAAAAGAATTCAGATCAGAGAGAAGCACGTAGTTACTCTATCTGGATTTGCAGCGCTACCAACCACATATAACACCCTACAGTTTGAACAAAGCTTGTGCTCTGAGCTCCAGAACTCAGCACAGCTCCCTGTGCCCTTCCTGGTTCCAAGAGGCTCAGCAGAAGCACCCAGGCGGTGGTGAGGGTGGCACCTCTGCTTTCTCCTGGGGTGAGGGGAGCTGGTCCCAGTGAGCTGGCAGGGAGTGCCATGCGGATGTCTGCCACTGACCATGTGTGCTTTGCAAGTTTCATTTGTGCTCATGGTGTGTTTTATTTAAAAGCACAGAAATTCTGCAACAACTTCTGAAGTCTGTGGTTTAGTCAGAAGGATGCTGAAGTTCATGGCAAACACCATAACCTTTCCATGTGAAAGTAGCGAAGATGGGAAAAATCCCATCCCATTCCAGGGTTCTAGGTACTGGCAGCACCTCATCTGTTTCCTTGTATAGCACTATTTCTGGTTTTCTTCACTGAATTCTTCTTCTGTGAGAAGGGAGCATGGGGACTCTGTGTCCCTTGGGGAGGTGACTGTACAGCCCTGTTTGGGATGAGCCACAGCCCTTGGCACTCCTGGGTCCAGCTGTGCTGCTGGCAGTTCTGTTACCACTTGCTGCTCATACAAACTCAGCTTTCTGCCCCATATCCTCCCTGTATTAGGGGCAGCACATGTGGTGGTCCTCTCCTTTAGAAGCATTGCGTGAGATGGAGATTGCTGTGAGATTGCTGTGAGATGACAGCACTCCTTCAGTCAAACCACATGAATTTCCAACGCAGAAGTGTGGGACACTCGGCGCGATGTGATACAAAGGTTTTTTTTCAGAGGCTCTTTCAAAAAATGCTGTCACTGTTCTTTCTCTTCCCTTCCATCTAAAGGTCGGTAATGCACCTCTGTGTCCCGCAGGATGGGGTTCAAAGGAGCCACAGAAAACCCTCAGACTGACCTCAAAACCATTTTCTCAGTTTTCTTTATGTGAGACTTGGGGGATTTTGGAAGGAATTTCCAAACACAACTAAATACCAACATGAAACAAAATGGATATTACAAACAATTTGTCTTAGAGGCTGAAATGACAGAAATGAACTGTCAGGATTCTTAGAAAATATCAAACCTATTACATTGATTTTAAAGCTCAAAGTCAAGAAGAGGTTGGAAATAATCTACATTTTAGAGATATTACAAACCATCGAAACAATGTGCTTCAAATAAAAGGTTTTCTCTTTCATAACAATGTTTTAGAAATGTTTTGTGCTTTGCTTTCCTAAAAGCAATGTTGCTTTTGTCATTAGCGAATTGGAATGAGTAAGCACACGTTTTGTATTGTGATGGCAGAGGGGGTTTTTCCATAGAGAAATTCATAAAGCTCTAATTTATAACTGAGAATATATTCTTTTTTTCTCAATTTACATGCATGCTGAGAAATTCATGTTTTAAGCAGTTCATTAAACGTTTTGAACTGAAGGCAGGATAACATGAGTTGCTCATTCTAAAGTTACTTCAACCTAAAGGGCTTTGTTTTGCGTTGGGGAAAATATTGGGAATGCTTATCTCAAGAGAAAGAAATAAGATTTCTCTCTTCATCCCTGTTTTCTTTATGAAAATTAAGCTTTTACTTTCTTTGTTCAATTCCAGTGTTTTTAATTTGAATGTTTTTAATGTAACACTGGAAAAAGAGGAACAACTTCTACTGAACTGCGTCTAACCCAGGAAAATCCTAATGTGTTACCTGAATTGAAATTAAATTGTGATTAAACCACGTGGAAACAAAGATGAAATTACATTATGTGCTGTGTATAATCCATAGGCATAAAAACGGGGTCTGTGGAGTTGCTGGAAACAATGAATAACGCAGCGGTGTGGAAATGGGTAACAGGCAATTACCAGAATGACTGTAAAGCAGTTGATGAAAAGAAGCTGGTGGTGGCAGTACCAAGAAATGTGATGAATAGCTCAAGACTTTCAGAAAGGATGAGACGCTGCTTTGTTCTGCTCTGTATGTTCTATCTGTATTTCAGGAGCAGAGGTTCTGCTGGGGATTCTGATGCTGAGCTTACCAGAAGGGACCGCACGACCGCTCTGCTACTTCTGTACTTCACTGTGCTCTGAAGTTGCCTTTCAGAGCACAGATGTTCGTACAGCTTTGGGAAAATGAGTTACTTTGGTTATGGGTTATTGCTGGGTTTTGGTTGTTTGCTCGCGTCTTTAGTCTCAGTTAGCATGATTATGAATGTTTTTTTTAAAGATATTTAGCCTCACGAAAAAACCTACAGTGATGAGAGGGCAACCATCATAGGAGGGACATAAGTCAGTTCTTGTGAACATAAATATTTAGAAGAAGCCAGAATTTGTTTCAAAGCAGCAGCAGCACAAATTAACGCTTTTTAGAAGTTCTCTTTAGTGAGCTGAGAGAGGTTTTCTAAACAAACCCGTTGGGATTTGCACTGCACAGAGCATTATTTCTGAAAACGTCTTCCAGACGTTGCATCTCCTTGTGAACTTCGGCAAGGACGATTTTCAGCTCTCAGTAGCTGTGTTATATGTGTGTCAAAATGAGCAACAAAATGGATACTCAATATCTCAAAACTACTTTTAATGAAGCGGGGCATAATGAGGAATGTCATACCATTGAATGTTGTGAATTAATTCCAATACTGTGTGCTAAAATACTTTCCATGTGCACTCTCTTATATAGCTGAACAAGAAGACAAAAGCACGAATATTTACAGAAAAATAATTCATTATCAGTAATGAATTAACATTACCATTTAACCCCTGTAAGTTGTTGGTGAACACTGTAGAGCTAGCAGTGATGAAGGCATCTGAGCCAATTACCTGATGACTGTGCGGCTTATTTTTCTTTCAATCAGAGCCTTTGTTTATAGCAGATAACATTATGTTTTACAAATTGTATCTTTCCATTACTACAGTCATAAACCTTGGGACTATTATTTTTCAGTACCGTGACACAACATTGGGCGTTTCAGCACACACAGGTTTCTCCATATGTGTGCACAATTTGGCAATTGCCCATCACAGGAATGCTGAGAGTGGTGCCATGTGCAGTGCCCGCCTCCAGACTGCAGCACCATCGCTTTCCCCACACCTGCATCTTCCTGGGAGCACACCTACAAGATCCAGCAGGCAGGCTCCTGCCCAGCTCCATACATAAGAGCTGAGGAACTTCATCAGCTTCCTTCAGAATGTTGACTCTTCAGATTGTTACGCAATGGGAGATCAAGCACAAAACGTATATGTTTGTTTTTTTTTTTTAATCAGAGAAACAGCTCAGTGTGTTTGCATGGGTGCCTTGAAAGCTTAGCTTTGCCCCCTCTGCATCCCACTGCAGGGGAGCCCTGTTCCGAAGAGGTGTTGGTCTGGGCCAGGGGAATGGAAGGAGGGAGACAGGGAGAGATGTCCTGCGAGAGCAGTGATCATGGCACTGAGCTTGCCAGAGTTCAAGAAGCATCTGGACAGTGCTTTCAGACATGTGGTCTGATTTTTGGGTGGTCCTTTGTGGAGCCAGGAGTTGGACTTGATGATGCTTATGGGTTCCAACTCTGGATATTCTGTGATTCTATGATCAGTGAGA